TCTTCACTCCGCCTCACCCTCTTCTTCTTCTTCACCACGCCTAACGCCTCCATCTCCTTCAAAGACCTCTCCTTCAAAGGGTCTATTGGGGGCGGTCGCGGCACAAATTTGCCTAAGTCCTTCTCTCCCAAGGGTTTGGGGCGAGGTCGAATTCTCTCTCTTGCAACCGGTTTTGGTGGTCGGTCAGCCTGGGACTCTTTGAATTTTTGGGCTTTCGCAAGGATGGTCTGATCCTCCACCTCTTGAGCCCTCCTCTTTGCTTCCAACTCCGCTCGGTCGAGGTCCCCACCGCTCGGCTGTGGACCCAACCCTGCCTCAAACAATGCAAACGGCTGAACGAGCTCATCCCATTTGGCCGCTTCTTTCTCCCTCCACTCCTTCACCCTCTCATCTGCTGCTGCCCCCAACTTTGGCTCCATCGTCTTGGTGGGCACCTTCCAAATGGTGCGCACTCCAACTCCTCCACTGGCGGACACATAGAACCACCGTGGTCTCCACCCCTTGATCAACAATGGCAGACCCGCCACCAGCCCTTTCCCTCCTGCCGCCTGCAGCGTGACCCAAGTCTCTTGCTGCCCCGAGGCCTTGTAGCACGCGAAGAATTTGTCCACTGTCATGGTCGCCCCTTCGTTCGCCTTCGGCCAGGCATTTGCACAGGACAGCAAGATCTTCCACGCGTTGGGCATTAGTTGGCCCGGCGCCACCTCCAAGCGATTTAAGACATCTACTACCACCTGTGGCAAGGGCAGCCTCAGTCCTCCTTTCAATGCCTCCTCATAAAGGGCAAATTGCCCTAGCCTGGCATCGGATGGCCTCTCCGTCAACGTCGGCAATGACAACTCTATTTCGGCAGGCACCTGGTATTTTTCGCGGATAGCCTTCAAATCCGCTGCAGTGACCGTTGATTTATCTGCCTTTATGTGCCAGTGATCAGGTTCTGCCTGGTTGATTGGCCTTGGAGCTGCTATCATGGTGGAACCGTGGGATCATACAATCGACTCCCACACCCTCTCCATCTTGTATTGCTGCGCTAACTCCACCGCATCATCATCTCCAAGTGGGTCCACCCTGACAATCGCATTTCCTTCTTGGGCCATTTCTGTGGTATGTTTGCGAATCGCTTCAGCGGCAGGTACAAGGAAATTGAAAAAGTGTTGCAGAGGTGTATTGTGAGCAACAAAGGAATTCACACTTGGAATATTTTGATTTTTCGTAAACAAGTAGGTGAATCGAATAATGCCAAAAGCCCACGGTTTGCCCGTATTCCAAGGATCCCAATTAATTTTCGCCAGTTTGAAAACTTTTCAAAATAATCCGCCAAAATTGTCTCTTCAACACTCATAATGACTTACCGTTTCATTTCTGATCCAACGCCTAATCTTCACCCCCTACGGGATGTTGTCACGTGTACGACCACGATCCACTGTCTCTTCCTCTTACCCTGTCTTTTCCACTTCAAATCACCACGTGACACGCCGCGTCTCGAGCCCCACGCCCCTCCACCTCACCCTTCGCGATCGGCCCTCCTTGCTGTCGACCATCCCACTCGGCCAACACTGCGGTCGGCCCTCCTCGCGGTCAACCCTCCCGCTTGGCCAACCACCGCGGTCGGCCCTCCTTGCTGTCGACCATCCCACTCGGCCAACACCGCGATCGACCCTACCACTCGGCCAACACTGCGGTCGGCCCTCCTGTTCGGCCAACCACCACGGTCGGCCCCCCCTTCGCGGCCGGCCCTCCTTGGTGTCAACCATCCCACTCGGCCAACCTTGCGGTCGGTCCTCTCCGTGATCGGTCCTTCCACTCAGTCGCCCTGCACAGTCGGACCACCTCCCGGTCGGTTCACCCCCCTCGATCACCCCTGCCGGTCGACCTCCATCCTGCTAATCCCTAACACACTTATCTACGTCATTAATATTCCCTTCGTTGGACTAAAGCTGCACTCGGGAATGGTGGTCTACTGACATGTATAAGTCCATAAAGGCCACGAATCACCTATGGACAATCCAAGCCCATCACTTGGAGCTCAGTGCATAACCCAGCTGGTGAGGTCCAGGACAGCTGGAGTCCAACATGGCATAAAGAGCCAATGACATTCAGACACACGGCAAGAGAAGGACGAGCCACATCAGCAGACAAAGATCTGCAAAGTTATTGCCACTGCACATCACCATTAATGCAGCCCATCACAGCATTTATTACAACAACACCTCTCCGTCGGAATAGGACCCCCTTACCCTGAGCAAGGTAAGGTACAGCATAGGCTTTTGGCAAGAAGAGCAGGTCGGAAGGGACAACGAAATGATTGCCAAAGGATACAAGCGAACGTTGAAGACAAGAAAAAGGTTAAACTTTCTATCTCTAATCTCTTCCTCTATACTCTACTTCTCTTCCTAACTTGCTCGCCGGAAGGTTCACTGGGGGACTACCCTGTTCCCCGTTGAACTTGTTTGCAGGTTATCCGGTGGGCTCGATCATTTGGGCTTGGACTTGAGGAGCTTGGACCAGTTCGCTCCATTCACTGGGATAAACTGTATCAATAGATCTAAATAATTATATAATTTCCACACATATTACTTCTTTTTTTCTTCACAATTTTTTTTTTCCCATACCTTTTTTTCGGCTTGCATGTGTATGCTCAGCCGCTAGTGTGTATATATATAACATTTTTTTTTTTTGTCAGATTGGACTCATTTGTTATTTACAATCCATGAAGTTATTGAATATTCTTCGAAGCAATTCATTGTGACTTTTCACACCGATACTATATCCTCACATGATATACATGCTCTCTTAATTTTTCGATATAACATCTAAAATTTTATACTCCAATTTAATTATATATACACGCTTTTTTAATCCACTACAACAAAAAACACTATTGGCGACTAAAATGGGAATTTTCGTCACTGAAAGTCGTAGAATTGGCGACTAAAATGGAATTAGTCGCCAAAATTGGTCACTCTTGCCGACTAAAAGAGTTTAGTCGCCGAATGCAATGGTTTTAGCGACTAAAAGGCAGTTTAGTCGCCAAATATAGGGGTTTTAGCGACAAAAAAAATTTAGTAGCCAAAGGTTAGGGTTTTTGGCGACTAAAACCATTTGGTAGCCAAACGTTAAGGTTTTGGCGACTAAAAACCACTTTGGTCGTTCCATACAATAAATAATATCTAAAGTTTAATATTTAAATTTAAACATAGTATATCCTATAAGGGACCTCCATCATCAAGAATGAGATCGTTATGCACTTTGCAACACCATGTTGTGTGACTTCATGGGTCATGCTAGATTGTTAGGTTGTAAATTGGTAAATTTTTTTATTATAAGGAAAATTGACCTAAAATAAAACTGTCTTGAAAATTTAGGTCAATTTTCATCATAAGTATTTTTTTTGGATGACAATTTTTATCATAGGTTGAAATAAACGGAACCAAACGAATCGATTCTCGTATACTATGTACTCTTTGGCTGATTTTGTGTTCATCACTGATTGAAAGTTCATTGAGATTAGAACACAAATTTTAGATGGTCCAAAGAAATCATTTTTCATATGCTCCAAGTTGCTCTACAACTCAGGTTTCTTTTAAGTTGGAAGTTAATTTGTTTGGCACATTTTTAACTTTGACTTTTGTAATACCTTTTTAGAATGACTGAAATTAACTTTTTGAGAGGAAATGAATTTGCTTCATTTTTTCGGATGTTTTGGGGTTGGTGTTTTCAGTGTGTTGGAGTATTTGGTTGCATCGAACTCAGGTGGTGTTTGCAAGTTCGCACAGGTTGGTCGTGGAGGTGGTGGCGATTGCTATTGATAGTTGTGCGGATCATAAAGCAGCCATAGTTGTGCGGATTATAAAGTAGCTCAGGCACGTTCTTCACTTTGACAACCCCAGCTGCTGAGGTGAATTGGTCGGCCCCAGTGGTTGGTGTTAATGAAATTAATTTTGATCGAGCAATGGGGGTTGCGCAGAATGTTTTGGGGTAGGGGTGATTGTTTGGGATCATTTGGGTAGTGTCATTGCATCGGTATCGGAATAATTGGGTTTGATTTCAGATGTGGATTTTTTGGAAGCAGTTTCTGATTTAGAGGTTGTCCGGTTTGCTTGGGATCTTGGCTTGGTCGATGTTCATTTGGAAGGTGATTCCTTTAATATTAATGACATCCTCGGTGCTGAAGTTGAGTTGGCTGTGTTGGGCCAGTGACCATGGAAATTCCCCAAGCTCTTACCGCGTTTCGCTCTTTCATGGTATCTCATGTTCGTAGAAAAGGAAATGTGATTGCTCACAGATTGGCAAGGCTGGCGATCTTCAATACGGGCTTACAGGTTTGGATGGAGGAGGTTCCTCTTCTGGTGTCTCGCTTTGTCCTTCTTGATGTAGGGTCTCTTTGATTTGGTTGCTTTGTATCTTGTTTCGACTATAATCCTGTCTACTGAAAAAACAAAAGAACTCACAACCAAAAGAGGGGCTGAACCGTTGAAGAGTTTGATGTTGCAGTGACTTTTAAAGTTAGTAGTTGACAACGTTAATTGTCGATTGAATATATATCACAATCACGTGTCAGTATCACCGTGACATTGAAATTTTACTCTACAATGAGATAGTTGTGATTAGTGCTATTTAATAAGTCCATGAACATATTACTGACCACAAAATGAACCACAAAATAATCTTTCAAAAATTTCATTCAGATTGCTCCACTCCTACTTTTATGTGATTAATTTTGTGATTGCTTGTGTCCATTTTGGTATGGCACTCCTAAATTATTGACAATAGGTCTTTTGAGAAGGTAGTGTAAAAAGTTCAATCAAGAAAAAATAGGCACCAAAAAATTATAAAAAATAAAACAACAATTGTCAAACCAGCCCAAATTTCTAAGGCAAGCAGCCCCTGGTTCCTCTTCCACCATCAACTCATGCTTAGACATGCTTACTCTTCACTGGTAAGCAATAAAGAGAAATTTCACAGAATTTCAGACATCAAGTCCCTTGGACAGTCCAAGATATTCAACAACCACATTTGACATTGAAATGTTAAAATATCAATCAATCCTACGATTGAGGATTGATCTGTTAAATCAAGTCCTTAAACAGAAGCATATACGATGAAGAAACTGAGCTGCAGAAGTGGAATTGTCTAACTTACATAATTTCTATACAATATATTGTTTTAATTTCTCCCTTCAATTAAAGAATACAACACCTCATCACCAGTCCTTTCTGATCAATCCTTGCCTCTTCATTGCCTGAAAATATAACACTCTTCGCTCACATCATCCTAAATAACATAATAGAGAGAGAGAGAGAGAGAGAGAGGGTGATAGGAAGAAAAAAGAAAGAAAGAAAGAAAAAGTAAAACTGACACACCTTCAGTAGGCTGGGATAGTTTCCGGTTCTGCGGAGATGTCATTTCTTTCTTCAATTGCAATAATATGTCCTCCATTGTGTACTCCCCTTGCCAGTTAGCAAGCATAGGGAAAACACTAGGTTCAACCTGGTAAAATTTGACCACCCATACGGTTATTTTACGCATGTCATGGAATACTATGTGCTTCCTTGGTTGTGTTTCTAATTTTTGTTTTATGTTTTCATTTTTTAAAAAGCTTGTTTGGCAAACTGTTCCCTAAAATTATTTTTGGAGAAAAATTCCAAAACAAATTACTTTTCAGAACACCAAAAGTTATTTTTGAATTTCAAAATCTATTTTCACAAACAAACCTGAACTAATTATTTTTGTTTTCAAAAACCCGAAAAGCAAAAATAAAGAATGCAGTTTAACAAAAGGGAGCTATTTGCTTAGCATTACTTACGAATCCAGTTTCCTGATTTACACAGGTCATGTTTATCCGAGTTTGGAACCTCACAGTTGGTGGCTTCTCTGGATACTCTTTACCACAGAATAATTTCAACTGGTAGATGCGCCCTTCGTGCACCGTCTGGCAAGCGGCATCAATCAACATAAAAACATCAACGTTTCTATTTCAGCAAATGCTACTATGCCAGGCAATTATAACAAATATCAATGCCATAATCATGCTTTTGAATTATTATAAAAAAATAAAAATTAAAAAAAAAATAAAAAGAAGAAAGAAAAGAACATATAAACAAAAAAAATGCTAAATTAAAAAGAAAAGGTAAAAATGGAGACTTGCTATTTTACCTATTATTATAATTATTATTATTATTTATTTCCCAACGTGTGAAACTGTTAAGTAACTTGGGCCAATGCTCGCTGATAAAAGAGTTAATATGAAAAACCAAAATTGCATCAATATCATAAACATAAGTTTATTTTTTATTTTAAAAGATAAAAGAGAATATGCCAATGAAGAGAAACCGAGAGAGGCTCAAGGTCCTAACGCCACGTTTGTCTAGGAGTTTGAGGAGGAATTTGATTGTTAATCTGTGCGGGGTCCACAAACATCATGTTTATTTTGAAAAAATACCCTGGGACCTATGTTACATGGACTCTTCAAAATAAATCAAATACCCATGTTGGGCACCCAACACTCGGACAAAGGTATAAGATATGTGTCGGATACTTTTCAACAGATACTTATTATATAGTTGTATATAACACTATTATTATATATACATATTGTTGTATAATTGCTATAAATGTCTTTTTGACACTATAAGTTACATATAGCACTATTTTATCTTACATACTTGATTAACAACATAAAAATATGACTTTTTTTTTGCCGAGTCTGCGTACTCTTAAATTTATGGTTTAATGAGTTCGATCTCTAGATATATATATGCACCCGGCAGCTGCACCTAAATCCATATAACATAGCATGGGACTCCAATGAGACTATGAAACCCCTCCAAGGAAGGGGGATTAGCATTCACATGTGAGAATTGGGTATCCAATCCCATGGGATTGGAGGTGTAAAGGCCATGATGTCCCCATTTTACGAAACAACAAAATCACTTTTTATGTAATGAGGGCTTTTATATAATTTCATAAATTTAATCTCAATTAACTAATATTACCACAATGGTGCACAAACACACAACTTATCTTACATCTCTAAACTAATACCACCATACTAGTAATCCCCTTATTCAATCTTACCGTACTCATAATTCTATCCAATCTAATTTGGCAACAAACATAGCCTTAAGTGTTATTATTGAACATAGTAACATTCAGCTGGAAATGAAGTAAACAAGTGCAGTAATGGCATAAGAAGATATTTGAGTTCAAAAAATGATAATTTGAAAGGTTTGGCTGAAGGAAATAGTTATCATTAGAAGAAAAGGCAATTTAGAGTCTGAGTTACTAATACTAATAGGTGTTGCAAGCAATGATTATAAGGATAGTCATCAGGGTAAGATACATACACATAAGGTGACTAAAAGTGTCCTTGTAAAAGAAAGGGCTTTAATGGGATCATAGGATGATGCAGAGAAAGCAAAGAAGGGCAAATTCAAAATATCACATGGAACACACCATGGGCATTGTGTAATCATGTCTATAGCTAATTTGACTCTTTTTTTTTAAAAGGTTTGTTGGATTCCTTAGATGGCTGTAGTTTTTGTCCACAAGTAGTTTTACTGGTCAAGTTGTGTTTTTGGGTTGTATATGTGGTATATTGTAGGTCTAGAATATTTTAATTAGTCAAACTTTCTTAATTTCTTTCTGTGAGTAATAGTCTTGATACAATTAGGAAAAGTTTACATCTATTAACATGCATGTAATATTTCTATTCAAGAGAAGTTGATCTTACGATAGTTTGAAATCGTGTTGGGTGATTTTCCTTTTCCTTAGGGTAGAACTTTTTCTTCCCAAACTATCATATTAAGCCCTAACCAACCCATCCCATCCCATCCCGTACGTTTTGGCCTCTACCCAAATACCTAAATCCATAATTAGTTATTGACCAGAAGCTTTCGACTACAAGTCCAAAAATCTAGAAATTTGCCACTTCTGGAAACCATGTGAATTCCAACAGGCCTTTTCACTCTTGAAACCCCTTTAAAAAAAAAATCTATGACAGAGAACCCAGAAAATAGAACTTTACTTCTTTTCCCTTAAAAGCCTACAACAAAACCAATTATAAGCAGCTTTAATCTAAGTTCCCTACGGCTGTTCTACATCTTTAGGTTGAAATGCAACGACAACAACAATAAACAAAGCTCTCTAGAGTGCCATTCTCTATTATGGACTGTACCCAATATGAGGTCGAATTAGTATTATAGTTTAGTTTCTAACTTAAAGGGCTCTTTAGTAAACCTCAGAACCTGTTCTACTTATATGGAGCATACATACTACTAGTCTATCAAATTGAGTCTTAGTTTGGTAACCCTAGACAAAACACTTTTTTGGTTTTTCATCCACCCAATTTAGGATGGAAATGGGCTGCGTGTGAAATTAAGGGGAGGAAGCTTTCACCTAGTCAGGTTTCTCTTGCACATAAAAATAGTACTCGCTTACAACAATTTTCTTCCCATCTGCACCTGCCACTTGTAGATCAGATCCTGATCCTGCTCTATTTTCTTCTTTTTCATTTTCTTCTCAATAACACTAAAATATTCGAGGTTTTGTTTTGCTTTTGATTTGGATAATTTGAAAGGTTTGGCTGAAGGAAATAGTTATCATTAGAAGAAAAGGCAATTTAGAGTCTGAGTTACTAATACTAATAGGTGTTGCAAGCAATGATTATAAGGATAGTCATCAGGGTAAGATACATACACATAAGGTGACTAAAAGTGTCCTTGTAAAAGAAAGGGCTTTAATGGGATCATAGGATGATGCAGAGAAAGCAAAGAAGGGCAAATTCAAAATATCACATGGAACACACCATGGGCATTGTGTAATCATGTCTATAGCTAATTTGACTCTTTTTTTTTAAAAGGTTTGTTGGATTCCTTAGATGGCTGTAGTTTTTGTCCACAAGTAGTTTTACTGGTCAAGTTGTGTTTTTGGGTTGTATATGTGGTATATTGTAGGTCTAGAATATTTTAATTAGTCAAACTTTCTTAATTTCTTTCTGTGAGTAATAGTCTTGATACAATTAGGAAAAGTTTACATCTATTAACATGCATGTAATATTTCTATTCAAGAGAAGTTGATCTTACGATAGTTTGAAATCGTGTTGGGTGATTTTCCTTTTCCTTAGGGTAGAACTTTTTCTTCCCAAACTATCATATTAAGCCCTAACCAACCCAACCCATCCCATACGTTTTGGCCTCTACCCAAACACCTAAATCCATAATTAGTTATTGACCAGAAGCTTCGACTACAAGTCCAAAAATCTAGAAATTTGCCACTTCTGGAAACCATGTGAATTCCAACAGGCCTTTTCACTCTTGAAACCCCTTTAAAAAAAAAATCTATGACAGAGAACCCAGAAAATAGAACTTTACTTCTTTTCCCTTAAAAGCCTACAACAAAACCAATTATAAGCAGCTTTAATCTAAGTTCCCTACAGCTGTTCTACATCTTTAGGTTGAAATGCAACGACAGCAACAATAAACAAAGCTCTCTAGAGTGCCATTCTCTATTATGGACTGTACCCAATATGAGGTCCAATTAGTATTATAGTTTAGTTTCTAACTTAAAGGGCTCTTTAGTAAACCTCAGAACCTGTTCTACTTATATGGAGCATACATACTACTGGTCTATCAAATTGAGTCTTAGTTTGGTAACCCTAGACAAAACACTTTTTTGGTTTTTCATCCACCCAATTTAGGATGAAAATGGGCTGCGTGTGAAATTAAGGGGAGGAAGCTTTCACCTAGTCAGGTTTCTCTTGCACATAAAATAGTACTCGCTTACAACAATTTTCTTCCCATCTGCATTATTCCACTCATCTGCACCTGCCACTTGTAGATCAGATCCTGATCCTGCTCTATTTTCTTCTTTTTCATTTTCTTCTCAATAACACTAAAATATTCGAGGTTTTGTTTTGCTTTTGATTTGGGTATATTCACACTGTTCTATTTTCTTCTTTTTCATTTTCTTCTCAATAACACTAATATATTCGAGGTTTTGTTTTGCTTTTGATTTGACACACACACACACACAGAGTTTGATTGGTTAGTTGAATTTGACAAATTTATGGTTCATTTTTAGTTGATTTAAGAATTTAGGTACATGGAATTATACATGTTGTCAATCTATGTTACATGGACTCAGGTGTGCATAATACCGCCGAAACCGCCAAAACCGCACCGAACCGTACCGCCAAGGCAAATTTGTTATTATTTGCCAATCCAACCGCCGGTTTTTGATAAGAAAAATGGCAAATTCTAGTGACACTTTTATCAATCCGCCGGTTTCTATTTTTCTTCCAAACCGCACCGACCCGCACCGCTATTAAATCATGTTTTATAAGATTCTAAATTTTTTTTTTTACTTAAGTTTGCTTGTTGTTCTATACCTTAGAATATAGTATTACATTACTGCTCGAGGGGAATTCAAGATGTCAGTAATCCAAAATAAAGTTGGATTCCAATTCACTTTTCAATCTTTTTTTTTTTTATTTTATTTGGCCATGTTGCAAACTTGTATCAACTCACTTTTCAATCTAAATACTTTTTAACAGTAAACATTTTCAATATATTGTAAACCCTGAATGATATTAATTTTATGTATTGTATTTGATCATTGTAACTTCCACAGATGCTTGTAATGAACTGATGGCATAGTCGCTGATATTATCATGTTGTTGCTACATTTATTGCATCAGAAGAAAGCTTCACAAGATGCTTAATATCACGATATCTCTCATCTTTTTTTTACTCTTTGATTTAAGTTTTGTAATTTGAATTATATTTTTTATAAACCGCCAATCCGCTCGAACCGCCAAGGCAAATCCGCCATTATTTGCCAACCGAACTGCCGGTTTTTGACAAGAAAAATGGCAAATTCTAGTGACACTTTTATCAATCCGCCACCCGCTATACGGTTTCTATTTTTCTCTCA